ACACACACACACACACACTCAACTGGGCTCTACACAAAAATGAGGCTAAACATAACTTACAATTTGTTTACAGTAAAAAAATACTCATTTACAACTTTGAGTGGAGAAAGACAACCGGTAAGGCACTAGACGTTTTACGTGTTTACTATATACAAAAAAAAAATTACAATATTATGTTTGTTTACATTGTTACCATAAGGAAGAGGTCTGTGTGTTTACAATGGTGACGGAGAAAGTTTGTTTGCAATGGTGGCAGGAGGTCTGTTTACAATGGTGACAGGGAGGAACTTGTTTACAATGGTGACGGGGAGGAGGTCTGTTTACAATGGTGACGGGGAGGAGGTCTGTTTACAATGGTGACGGGGAGGAGGTCTGTTTACAATGGTGACGGGGAGGAAGTTTGTTTACAATGGTGGGGGGGGGAGTGTTACTAATAGTGGCTAGTACGTCCTCCAGGGTATGCTAGCAGTGTTACCATCCTAACTCACACACCCATCATGTTACTGTAACAGCCATCTTAGGCGTCACATCTCTCCTGCCGTCACACATCACACACACACACATCTCTGGCGTCACATCTCACCATCAAACACATAAGTTAAAGTCATAATTTATTACTTATTTCACGGTTATTGAGCATTGATGATGCCACGTCAAGGCACAGCACGGTGTACAGGCCTAACAACACGTCAAGGCCTGTGCACAGTGCCGCGCACAGGCCTACACCACGTCAAAGCATGCACATCAAACAGGTCTATACCATGTCATGGCCTGCACAGTACATAGGCCTACACCACATCACGGCCTGCACAGTACACAGGCCCACACCACATCTCGTCCTCTTGAACACGTCACTTCAATCACAAAGTAAATATACAACTGTTTAGGAGAGGTTGACTCATCTGGTCCTCATCTCGCACAGTCTATGAGATCCTGCAGAGATTGGGAGAGTTCAAAGTTTGTTTATTTTATGATTAATTTTCGAGGTATTACGGAAACTTCTAAATAGTTTCAAGTTTATCTGTACAATTTAAAAAAAAATAACATCAAAACATTTTATCAGAAATTTTCCAAACAAACTTCTTGAGAGTTTATATACAGGAAGACGTTTACACTCAGGACCACTTTGTTTACACTTGAGAGTGACGCCTGACACAGTTTGTGGAGCACTAACGCAAGTTTACAACTGGAAGCACAAAACAGCACCAATGTTATCGACTATTGTAACTGGGACTCAAGACTAGCTGGCCCGAGTACCTTTTGAGTACATCGTTAAGTCCTTCTCTTACTTGAGTACTGGCCCGTGTTTCTCACTCAATATATGGGAGAGAGAAATGTCTCCTTCAACAAGCAGAGAAGGCGTCGCTTGCTCTCAGCCAAGGAGACATATACCACAGAGACAGTTTATCAGTCTATCTCTTTCTCTCAGGTGTAGGAGAGACGTACATCATCCTCAGCAGCTCTCTGTCTCTCAGGTGAGGAGACATTTTTCCCCCAACACGTAGAGAGAGACAGTTCATACGCCTCTCGCTCACACCCATCCACCATCCTCAACAGCTGGTGGCAGTAATGAGGATCATCTCCGGCGTGAGGACAGGGATGAACCAGCTGGCTACCACCACCTGTGGAGGTCGTGACTCACGCACCACCAGGTCGTCTTCCGGTGAGGTCGTTGGAGAAGGACGACGCGTTACTCTTGTGTGGGTGTCGTTGCTTCTTCCGATTTGGCAACTGTCTGGTCGTCTTGCCGGACAACTTGGTCGGATTTGGGAGTTATTTGGTCGGGTGGAGTTGTGGCTACTTGGTCCAGCTCGGGAACTATCTGGTCGGGTGTCGATGTTGTCTGGTCGGATCTTGGGGTCGGTTCGTCGGGTGGGGGAGTGTGGCCGGTCTGTGTTTGTTGACAAAGAGGAGGACTCGGGGTGCCGGACATCGGTGTTGTCATTTGTTGTGTCGATGTTTCCGTCGTAACTTGTTGAGCGTCGACTGTTGGTCCAGGATTTGGAGGTTCTTGTTGAGGTGGAAGACGGAGGTGGAGGTTTGTACCTTGAGCCTCTGTAATGGTGATGGAAGGGGTGTGGGCGGGTGGGCGGTGGGTGTAGTGACGCCTGGACGGTGAACGCACCCCGTCATGAGTCTGTCTTCGCCAGAGCCAGGCGCGGTAACATGCTCTCGCTCTCAGTGGCTGCTGACCCGTCTGTGGCTCCCGTGGCAGTAGAGGAACCTGAGCTGTTGGAGGAGGAGGATGATGTGGAGGAAGAGGTGGTGGTGGTGGAGGAGGAGGTAGTTGAGGTGAAGGAGTCGCGCCAAGGGTCCCAAGCGAATCCTTTCGCACGAAAAAGCTTATTAAGTATAGCGGTGAGGGGCGAGGCCCGGGACCCTCGCTGGCCGCCGCCCTTACACATGACCAGGTAAGGGTTCATCCCGGCCTCAAAGTTAGCATCTGGGACGGTGGGTGAAGGTGGGATGATCTCCAGCTGGTGTCGCAGGTATTGGCGACGCCTACTGGAGCCTCCGCCACCTATGCTGGACTTGGTGGAGCTAAGTGGAAGGCCAAACAGACGGCGGACCTCACGCTGTATCCTGCGGGAGCGGTAGAGGTACAGGTAGGGGGAGAGGGCCGAGTTGCTGAGGGCCAGGACCAACACCACACTGTGTACCACACCTGGCACCCACACCTATAAACAACAGACAACATACATGTGTTAGCAGATGTGGACCAGAGGAGGCAGTTATGTAGATAGACATATATACATACATATGTGGATGGACACATGCAGACAGATATGTGCACACACACACACGCACACACACACACAGTACCCACCTGCAGAAGGCTTGTGTGTAGTAGGGTGGCGGAGTAGTAAGGCAGCCAGCAGATAAAGAACAACACGATCACCACCACAGAGATCTTGGCGGCCCTCGACTCCTCCTTGTGTAGGAAGAGGGAGGCGTTGCTGATCCGGTATCGAAGTGTCGTGACGATCTGGGAGGAGGTGGAGCGTGTCGACGGCGTCCTGCAAGGGGGTGATCGACGTTAGTTTGTTACGACAGGTACCATTCAGAGGTAACACTTGCGTCATGTGTTACAGGTGTGTGTTTTAGATTAGGTTACGTCAGGTGATAATGCCACTGAAGGTAACACGGAACATGGTCATGATAAACAGGTGTGAGAGGTGTACTGTACCTGGAGGGGGCCCGGGAGGGGGTGACAGCGTCGAGGGTGGCGCCACACAGGGAGTTGCGGCGGGTTCTCTCACTGTTCTTGTGGGCCGCGTGGTAGATCCGGATATAGATCCAGATGAGCAGTATCATGGGAACCATGAACGACACCGCCATGTTGATGACCACGAAGTAGGAACGGTATGACCAGAACTCTGGCGTTGTCTCCGTCAATGCTTCTGTCGCCGCCGTTGCCGCCCCACACACGTTCCTGCAGAAGGTAAATACACTGTTTAATTATGTGAAAAACTTTGTCTGGTCAAATTTATTAAAAAAGAAAAGAAAATCGAATTTATCTCACTACCGCGTCCCGGGTTCAATCCCAGGTCACGTGTGAGAAGGCTGTTGGTTCTGAACACGCCTTTTACGCCCTTAATGCATGACTCATAAAGGCAAGCATGAACTTCGCATGCTTCCCAGTTCGGCACTGCAAACGCTTCTGCGCTTCACCTTGCACAGGATGTAAGGGGGTGCCCAATAAACTAGCTCCCTCGTGGGCAATCTGAATCTGAACACTACTGACCATCACAGGTCTTCTTCAGGTACCTCCAGTATCCTCCTGTAGGAGCACTGGACCATGGAGGATGGCCCTTGCTGGTCCCCTGGGGAGACCACATATTTTCAACTGATAGATGTACACAGTATTAATATTTACTTAATAAAAAACCCAGTGGGGAGTGGGAGAAGGAGAGGAAGAGGAGAGGAGGATGTACTCACCATGCTCGGTTAGACATGTCGCCCAGACCAGCGGCAGCAGCTATGAGAGCAGCGGCGATCCATCCCGAGGCGATCATGGCTACGCTCTTGGGTCTGGTGACCAACATGTGGTAATGGAGAGGATCAGTGATGGCGCAGAACCGGTCCACGGCGATCAGCAGCGTGGCGAACACCGAAGCCGACGCCACTAACTCCGACACGGCGTCTATGGCACGACACAGTGACGCCGACTCCCAGTTGGGTAGGAAGGTGTCGGCGATCACCAGCGGCAGCAGGAGCCATGACGCCAGCAGGTTACACACCGTCAGGCTCACGATGAACCTGGAGGAGGCAAAAGAAAAAAATCGGTTAGTCTTATTATGCACCTCAGTATATGGCGACAGGTATAAACGTATCCATCATTATACTCTGTCGGTCCAGTCTTAACATGGCACCAGAGTATAGCGATAAAAACAAGTAAACAGTCAGTCAGAGTAGAGATTAAACCTTCCTCTCACTCTGACCTTGTTACTCTGACGTGTTACTCTGACGTGTTACTCTGACGTGTTACTCTCACGTGTTACTCTGGCGTGTTACTCTGGCGTGTTACTCTCGCGTGTTAGTAATATATTGTTAAGCCCTGGTCAGATACCCCACGTCACTCCCCCTACTGCCATACACGGGGCGGTTAAGGTCAGACAGTAATCAACAACAACAACACATGAAGCCCAGACAAGATGGTGCATCAAGTGTGCCTCTAACACCACACCTGTCGGTCACTCACAGGTAACTCAGAATGATGGTACCTCACAGATGTACCTAACGTGACAGTTGGGGAAATGAAGGCGCTCGAGTACAGTGTCGACCATGATGCTGCCTCCTTGTGTACCTACATCTACCCCCACACACACACACACACACACACACACACACACACACACACACACACACTGATCATCGTCTTCATGTACAGGTAGAGGTCAAGACGTTGGTGTTAACCTTGACCTTTGGAAACCAGGGAGGAAGTAAACATATCAGGTCAGCTAATGGGGGAGGGGGTTTACTGAGACCTGATGACCTGGGTGAAGGAAGGTAAGACAGGTAAGGTCTAGGAAGAGGCACAGGTAAGGGTCAGTGAGGCAGGTAGGTCAGGTAAGGTCCAGGTGGGTACAGAGTCGCCTTGGACCCATAATAAGAGGAAGGAGGGAGTGGGCGGTGATGCTGTGTCAATCCTTCAACTTGATCGATGGATGTTGGGGTGGGGGGGTCCTGGGGGGTCCTGGGGTGGGGGGGGGTTCTGGGGGTGGGGGGAGGGAGGAGGTGAGGACATTCAGAGGGAAAGGAAGGTGAGGAGAGAGAGAGAGAGAGAGAGAGACTTTCCTCCTAACTCAAGGAATCGCCAACAAAAGTAAGAACAACACAACACACCACCACCAACACACCTCCACCACCACCAACAACAACACCTCCACCACCACCACCACTGACAACACATGATCAACAACCAGGTTTTTAGTTAACTATTGTCAGTGGTGAGGGAGTAGCCCCCCCAAGTTATGAGCAGCGCCATTATGGTACACGCCAGTATACTACCTAACCCTGGGGGACCTGAGTTAGTGGCGGAGCGGGGAGTGTAAGCCTGAATTAGTTGAGTGTCCTGTGGTTGGCTTGTTCATCTATAGTTTACATCCTCTGTGTGTTTGTGTGTGTGTGTGTGGGGGGAGCCAACAGGTGTGGGGAAGGAGTGGGGGGAGTGTGTTGTGGGGACAGACAGACAGATAGGGATCCCCACAGTGAGGGAAGTCATCTCGACAGGTAAGAGTGATGGACTAATGACTCACCTGCCAACATGGATGATATTAATCATTCATGAGATCAGACTACTACCATTCGTCCCTTGATCTATTTCATGTGAGGGTGAGGGTGAGGTGGAGGGGTGAGGGGTGGGGAGGGTGTGGAGGGTGGAGGGGTGGGGGGAAGAGGGGAGGGGTGGAGGTGGGGGGGTGGAGGGTGAGGTGAGAGTGGGAGGTGAGGGGTGAGGTGGAGGTGAGGGTGAGGGTGGAGGGTGAGGGTGGAGGGTGAGGTGGGGGGGGTGTTAGGTGAGAGGGTTTGGTCCTGGTGTGTGTGTGTGTGTGTGTGTGTGTGTGTGTGTGTGTGTGTGTGTGTGTGTGTTCACTAAAATTGGGAGAGTTGCCAACGTGTATATAAACACACACACACACACACACATATACATACAAAAAACACTCACACACACACACACCACTATATGATTATGATCTAACACCCTCCCACCACCACCACCCCACCCACCCACCCACCCACCACCCACCCACACCCACCCACCATGTCCCTCACGATATAGTAGATTAGGATAAATGAGTAAAGTCTTGTGTCGTGTGGGCGGCAGGTGGGGCAGGTGGTGGGCGCATGTGTGTGTGTAAATGGACTGTAGGGAGAACGGATATAAAATACACACACACACACACACACACACACACACACACACACACACACACACACACACACACATCTTGTATTAAATGATGTGAAGTCTCAGTTTAATATAGACGCCATATTGGAACATCAATTTACGATACACCATAATTAACGTAACCAATTAGATACATTATTTTTATAGCCAATTAGGAGAAATATTTATCTTAATAATATATGATAATTTATATACGTTTTTTTTAATTTGTATAGATGATTAGAGTTAGTATTATGTGACCACTATTTTGGACTTTTTTTTGGGGGGTGTAGCATAAGTCAATAAGTTACGAGGATTTTCTTATTTTAGGTGTGTGTGCGTGTGTGTGTGTGTGTGTGTGTGTGTGTGTGTGTGTGTGTGTGTGTGTGTGTGTGTGTGTGTTTTTGACCCTCACAGCTGTTTAGTGAGCGGTGTGGCGTACGTGACTGACTGTGTGTATGTGTGTGTGTGTGTGAGAGAGAGAGAGAGTGAGAGTGAGACTTTATGGTTCTTAACTATATAACTGATACAGGTGTGTGTGTGTTCGTGCCGGTATCAAGTCACTCTTATAGGACAGGTGTGTAGAGGGCAATTGATTAACTAACTAACTCAACTCACTAGTACAGGTGTTGAAGATACAGGTAATAGCATACAGGGATTATGAAACAGGAGTTAGGTTCATCTCTCTCTCTCTCTCTCTCTCTCTCTCTCTCTCTCTCTCCGCCCAAACCCTCCGTCCGCCCACCACTACTTCCGTCCGTCTTAGAGGCTTCCTTGCTGCTTTCCTCACGTGCCCGTCCATTTGCCGTCCCTCCCCCCCTCCCCCCTCACTTGACCCTATTTTGTGTCGGTGGGGGGGAGGGGGGGGGCTCGTTGGACAGGGGTGGAAGGGGGGAGGGGAGATGGTCTAGGATTTGGTGATTGGTACTACACCATCATCACCACTACTTCATTATCACCACCACACCACTACCACAACACTACCACACCACTACCACACCACTACCACAACACTACCACACCACTACCACACTATAGAGAACCAGCAGGTTGTTGCGGCGCGCCTTATGAACTGCTGGTCTCCTGGTTTAAGGCGCCGCCATTATAAAGTGAATGTGTTGAGTAATTGGCGTCTTCTCTTGGTTGAGTCTTAGTCCCAAGGTGTCCCACAAGGTCCCCCAGAGTCCCCCCAAAGCCTCCCAGAGTCCCCCTGTCCCCCAAAGTCCCCCAAGGTCCCCAGAGTCCCCTCAAGGCCCTCCATAGTCCCCCAAGAGTCTTCCACATCCCCCCAGACTCTCAAGATCCTTCAGAGTCCCCTAACAGTCCCCCAGAGCTCTCAAGAGTTCTCAAAAGTCCCCAGCCTCCCCCAGCCTCCCCCAGACAGAAGACAGGGTGACGTCCAAGGGGTGGTAGTGTGATGGAGAGGGTCTGTCTGCCCGTCTGTCTGGCTGGGAACTCCTTAACGGGCTATATTTATACAACAGACGACTAGTGTGAGCCCTAACTAATGACCAAGTGACGCTGTGTCTTAACGGGATGTCTTGTCTGTCTGTCTGTCTGTTTGTCTACCTCCATCAACCAACGGGGACCCCCCCATTACTTGTCGCACTTCCTGTCTACACACACACACACACACACACACACACACACACACACACACACACACACACACACACACTATTAAGAGTACATATTCTTCTCATTGTATCTCTCACTCACTTCCGTAATTTATTAATGTCCACTACCTGTTTGTGTGTGTGTGTGTGTGTGGTCCGTCTCACCTGTGTACTTGAGGATGGATTAGGTGTACTCATTACACCTTAGGTTGGTAACTTCCGTGTTGTTGTGCACGTGGAGGAGGTAAGAAAGTGATTTCTTTACTTAATTTTATTTCTGCCTGCCGCTATGTACCTGCATATGCTTACCCAGCCCCTGTTTACCCGTGCATCTGCTTACCTGTGCATATGTTTACCCGTGTATATGTTACCTGTGCCTTGCTTACTCTGTGTATCTGTTTACCTGTGTCCCTGTTTACCTGTGTCCCTGTTTATCTGTGTATCTGTGTATCTGTTTACTTGTGTATCTGTTTACCTGTGTCCCTGTTTACCTGTGTATCTGTTTACTTGTGTATCTGTTTACCTGTGTCCCTGTTTACCTGTGTATCTGTTTACCTGTGTCCCTGTTTACCTGTGTCCCTGTTTACCCGTGTCATTGAGGCCTAATTACACCTTTTTCACACCTTGTGCTCTCACTTCCGTATATCATTACATATTCTTCTTCTTATTCTTCTTCCTGTTTGCCTCCCTCTCGTTGTTATACTTTATAATTATCACTATTCTTCCTTCTTTCTCTTATCACCTGTTGTTGTTTACCTGTTTTGGTGTGTCTGTTGTCGTTTACCTGTTGTAGTGTACCTGTTGTTGTTTACCTGTTTCGGTGTGTCTGTTGTTGTTTACCTGTTGTTGTTTACCTGTTGTTGTGTACCTCTTGTATACCTGTTACCAGACTCTACCTTAACAACAGTAGATACGTTCTGTTAAAACCAATTAGGAGACCAAATTATACTGTTGACCGTATTCTCTACTGTACATCGAGTGCCAGCGGGGGCATTAGGCTGGCGAACGTTCGACAGACGAGATAAACCAGTCAGTCCTACAGTTTATGTGACCTAAGAATCTACCGTCAATCGGAGTTTAAGACCGGAAGTTAGCGAGGGGGTTCGAACAGGGGTACTTAGCTATGAAGGTGTTGGCCCTAGCACCACAAGGCCACACACACACACACACACACACACACACACACACACACACACACACACACACACACACACACACACACACCTCTGCCTTCAGCGTCTAATTAGCGTCAC